CTTCTTAAAAATGGCTGCTGTTTTTGAGAGCAACAGTGAGAGGGATAGTAATTGTCCAGATTTGAGCTTTGTTAGCGGAATGTGGGTGTCTTGTACACATGAATTGAAAGACTCTTTCAAAGAATTAGTCAATACTCTCTATAAACTGAGGCTAAATCTGTTGATTTTCAACGAAAGGTGCGTCGCCATTTTCTTTTGTATTGTCTGGTTTCCTGTTACGTATATATCATTTGAGTATTTTCACATAAATCACAATTGATACTTTTGTTATGCTTAACTCTCTCAATTAGGGTAGACATTATATTATGTCAACAAACCACTAAGATTCTAGTCCAGATACATTGGAAGAATAGTCTAAACTCCTATACAACAACAATATACCTACTAATTAGTATAGCCTCACAAGGGGGTTTGAGGCGGATAGTCTGTACACACACCTTAATCCCGGACTACTTGTTATATGCATGGTTTATTTATTTATTTATTATTAGTATTTCTGCTGGCCAAAATTTAGACATAAGAATAGATATTACTCCCTCCGTTCCAGTTTATGTGAATCTATTTCTTTTTTGGTCCGATCCAAAAAGAATGACTCCTTTATAAATTTGGAAACAATTTAGCTTAAACTTCCAATTCTATCCTAAACAACCTTTTTGACTTGTTTAGGACCACAAATTCAAAAAGTCTTCATTTTTTTTTAAAATTCCGTGTCCAGTCAAACAAGTTCACATAAATTGGAACGGAGGGAGTAATAGCTAGACAATAGACTTAAGTAGTGTCAATGTCACCCTTTATCCTGATCTGCAATTAATTTCCTACATATATACAAATTGAGGTTAGTTTATCTATGAACTTGTGAATAGTAAATAAGCTCAATGCTTATTTTTATGCAGGAAGAGGTGGTAGAAGAAGCTAACTTATGGGCTAGCGTTGCATCAAAAGGCCTCATCACAAAAGTTCTCAAGACAGAGTACCTCAACGAATATACAACGGTCATTTTTGCAAATGCTTTGTATTTTAAAGGTACATGGAAAGAAATATATGACGAACATCAAACCAGTAACAAAGACTTTTACCTACTCAACGGTGACAAAATTTCAGTTCCATTTATGACTGGCTGCAAAGATTTTCTATATGGATCATTTGAAGGTGTTCAAGTTGCTAAAATTCCATACTTAATTGGAAAAGACAATAAAGAGTTTTCTATGTATATTTTTCTTCCAAAAGAAAAAGATGGATTGCCTAACTTATTGACAAAAGTGAATTCTTGTCCAAAATTCTTTACCAAAAAATACAGACTTCGGAAGGAAGAACTTGATGCATTCTTCATTCCAAAGTTCAAATTCTCATACTTTGTAGTGGATGAAGTGATAGAAACAATGAAGGAAATGGGATTGACTCTCCCTTTTGACGACAAATGTGAAGAGATAACTGAGATTGTAGAAACTGAAGGGCCATTCCTTATCAATAGGATATTACAAAAAGCATTTGTGGAAGTAAATGAGAAGGGTACTGAGGCAGCAGCTGTTACTTACGAGTCAGATGATGATATGGGATTTTCATTGTATGATATGCCACCACCTCGTCCAAGGTTTGTAGCAGATCATCCTTTCTTGTTCATGATCAGGGAAGATGTTTCAAGATCGGTGCTTTTTGTTGGAGCTGTGCTAAATCCTTTGAGTGAATCAAATGATTAATTGAGGATGTAAGAGGTTTCAAGATTGGTATACTAGGTGTTGTTTTGTTTATTGGCTCTTTGTGTAAGATATTTGAGGGGTTTATGTTTTCACCTGCATGCTCATGACTACTATCTATTCATCTTGTTTTTTTTTCATTTGGTGTGCTTAATAAATTCTGCATTGTTTCACACTATCTCTGTCCCTTTTCTCTCTATCTTTTCTTGTTTCCCACCAAGTATTTAGTATCCACATTGGGTCCGATTAAATTTGATTCGCTTTGTGAAGTTCTACATTGGATGGTAAAATGTTCCCGCGACTGACTAATGATGAAAGAGTCCTTTTTTTTCTCTATCGATGTAAGAGGCAGCAGTTAAAATGCTTGTAACATCAAAGGATGTGGACTAATGTTTAATGTAATGTTTAATGAAAGGAAAACTATGGGGTTTGAGGTCAAGTTTCACTGTTTCAGTGAAGCAAAAAATACTAGATAATTTATTTCCATCCGCATAAGTTTTGACAGAAAATGCTACTAAGGAGTATCTCAAATGAAAAAGATCAGAAAAGTTCTAAATGAGATCAATTAAAAAGGAATGTCATTAGCAGAGATAGAACTTTAGAAGATGATACATCGAATTGTTATTTATTTCGTTGATTCTTCTTTTTCGTGAGCAACTTGGTTTTTTGGCATTAATAAGAAGAGCAATTGTTCTTACCTAGGGGGTAATTGAGTTCAATTAAAATAATTTTTATATACCACTGCGTATTAGTGTTGGCTATATTCGATATTTACCTATCTATACTACATATGAAATTACTTATTTATCCTCCCTAATGAAGTTTTGACTTAATTACACAGTCATATAATTTACCAATTATATACAAATTAATTTTAAATGAGTCTTCCTTGATTATAGCCTTTTAATTTGGTAACCGAATCCCACACCTTCAGCCAATTACCCAATAATCTTTCTTCGTATCACTCTTTGTTCTTCCTCACCCTGTACTTCTCTGATAATAATTGTCGGTGGATAGTCCGCGATGCCACCTCCCACCATATGATTTACTCGTAATATAGTATTTAGTTTTTAGATCAACCGATTGGCTCTCTATGCTGCCATCTAGAGAAAGTTGGTGAGGACCTATCAAAGCAACAGGTTGACATGTAGATTTCACTGGATCACGAGGGGTTTCTCCTGACCTTTGAGAACAACAATGAGTCATTAAAAAAGCTTCGAAGCTTTGATTTCAAATTCGAATTTTTAAAAAATATTATTTGTTTCGATTGGGTATTATTGCAAACAATTGAGAATATTTTATGGAGTTTATATCTCGATTTTGAGGGTATTTAGTGAAGAATAGATTTGATTTGGCTGGATTTTCAAATTGAAATTCGAAGAAAAGCAGAACACACCACATACAATATATATACAAAAGACATATTGTAAAAAAATTTGTATGAAAACTGTATTTAAATTGTATGATATTGTAGTTGTATTTAATTGGGTAAGAATGATGTATGAAAGTTATAGATAAGTTATAAATAACTTATATACTGTATAATTAGTTGTATGAAATTTAGTTTTAGTATGTATGTTGTTATACATATATCAAATTTTGTATTAAATTTATTTGAAATTTGCTTTTACTTCGTATGATGTTGTATCATACATTATAATCTTTTCTTAAAATAGGTAATTATGACAAAGAGAGAGAAGAGTTGCGCTAATTATGGCTAAATAGGTAAGACATCACTGGAAGGAGTATTATTTAGATGGAAGGATAATTTGGACTTTGTTCCCTTCAGTTACACCCTATTCCAAGCAAAGAATCACTTAATTTGAGGCATTAATAATGGATTGTATATAAATTGTAAAAAAAAAAAAAAAATTGTTTAGGACGAGTAATATACAAAATTTAGTCAATTTTGATAAATAAATTTCAAATATTATATAGGAATGAAAAAATTCCTATATTCGATTATTACCTATTTATACTATATATGAAACTATAATCATGTACTATAAAGAACTTTTATTAGATAATTGACTGAAAAGTGATATTCCCTCTATATCGAAAAAAAGTGAATCAGTTCGAATTATAATCATCGAAAACTTTTTGTCTATTTCGGTCATTAATTTTTAAATGATTTAAAACATTAGAAATGTACATGTTTAACTTTCCAAAGAGTAATGGTTTCATATGAAACAAAGGAAGTAACTTTTGTCGAGCCACAATTTAGTTAACTAAAAATTTTAAGAAGTTTTTATTTTGTAGTAACCAAACAACTTTGATGTAAAGACGACAACTAGAGATAATTAGAAAGACTCGATAGTAGAAAACACATTATTGATGTTTAGGGCAATTTTTGCGTATTTTGATTATTCTATTATATACCTGCTATTCTTACCAACACAAGTTTCCAATAACTCTACTCACTAAAGTGCACAGATTTCGAATAATTTTATTTACTAAAGATTTTTATCTATGCTAAAATTTGAATCCTAATTTCTAAAAAACACATCATTTTTATCGCAGTAATACACATTCTCAATGGGTTAAAAGTATTTTAGGGAAGGCACAAAATAAAATCTTAGCCCTGAGGCTCAAGCCACAAAGTGTAAATTCATGATTCATTTTATTTAGAGCAATTTTTGTTTCTCTAAAAAAAGATCATCATATGGAGAGTATAGAAATACAATTCTAATAGTAGTATACTAGTATATAAACTTAAATAAAAAGTTCATGAAAACTAATTTAATTATCTAGACGTAATTATTTAAGAAATAACCAGAATAGTCGTCCATTTAACCACTTAAACTAAAATTAGTCGCCAGATATATGTAATATGTTTATATTCGTATACAATTAGTATATAATTTATGTACACCAACTGAAAAAAAATAAGTAGAAAATCCGGTGGGCTAATTGTATAAAGATCGCAATGGTCATAATATAGTGATATTGCAAGGGGTAAATATCATTTTTAGCACGCGGACGGAACTATTTACATCTAATAGTCGCAAAAGTGTTTAAAATTGGTATATCTTTTGTATATAACATAAAGAAATATACACACACACAATATATATATATATATATATATATATATATATATATATATATATATATATATATATATATATCGTCTATTATTTTGAGATCGACCATACAATGTTATTGCAACTGATGTGGTTGAACTGTCTCCTAACGTTGGGCCTGTTAGTTCTCTATAGGCCTATTATATTGGGCCTGTTATTGAATTTTGATTAATTTGGATGAGCCCAAAAAACTGCAGTTGAAGCCCTAAATAGTGTATACCCATTAATCGCGAAAAAACTGAAATCTCAAAGTTTTACAGCAAATCGACTCGAATCGAACAAGAGAGAGCAAAAATGAACTCAATGGTGGCTTTAGGGAAGAAATTCACGAGAAATATTCAAGATCATAAACGTAGGCTTTTATCAGCTAAGTATGAATTAAGGCGAAAACTTTATAAAGCGTTTGTTCAAGATCCTGAACTTCCCCCTGAAATGAGAGAAGCTCATCGTTACAAGCTTTCAAAATTGCCAAGGAACAGTTCATTTACTCGAATCAGAAATCGGTGCGTTTTCACTGGTCGGCCTCGTGCTGTGTATGAAAAGTTTAGGATGTCGCGTATTGTGTTCCGTGGTTTGGCTGCTCGTGGTGCTTTGCAAGGTGTTAAGAAAGCTTCTTGGTAGACTTACACCCCAGGTAATTTTGATTTTCAGTTTTTTTTTTTTTGTTAACATTTTGATTGTGCTTGCTTGGTTTTTCTGGAATTACTTAGTTTCGAAAAAGTTTGTTTGAATTTGAATATTGCATCTGGATTGTGTAGTTGAGACAATGTTATCGCTGCGTTTGAGCTAAAGGTGTTTGTTGAAATGTCTTAATGGGAATTTTAATGCATTGTTTTTGAAATTTCATGAAAATTGTTGGATTGCAGCTATCGTATTTGATACTCTCTATGTCCCAATTTATTTGGCATGCTTTCCTTTTTATTCTGTCTAAAAAAGAATGACACTTTTTACATCTAAAAATGATATCAGTTTATTAATGATCAGATTTATGATTACATAAATGTTCAAGTCATGTTTGAGAACATGTTTCAAAAGCTCTTTTAAAAAAAAAAAGTGCCGTACCTAGTCAAACAAGACCACATAAAATGGGGTAGACGGGGTAGTACTTTGAGACTGTAAAAGTATGGTATGACTCATCCACACTGTATGATAGTACGCTTCGATTAAACTTAGTCTTCTTGTTGTCATCCTCTTTATGATGAGATATGATGATTTTTGTAGTCCAGACAGATTTTGTTTCTTCATATGGCAAGTGTAGTGAATTAGAACTATCTTTTTCATTTGTGGAAAAGTGATCACCAAACCTCAGAGATTGTGGCAACTTTTCTAGTTTCAATTTACTGCTTCACATGAAAGGTTATGGTCTTAAAGTCTGAATGAAATGAAAAAGATACACAAGTGAAAATGCATACAAGGAAGAGAATACAGATCAACCTTCTTTGATTTGGCACTGCTTCCTCCTCCTTATGAAGCAGCATCCTTCTGTTACTTCTCGATTTAGTAAATTATGATCATAAGAAGAATTAGAATGCGAAGCATTGAGAGCCATAGGGATGATATTATCATGATTGCTGAATGAGATTGCAGTAGGTTAGGATATACAACATGTAGGAGGATGATTTTGAATTTTAGAAGAAGTTTGAAACTGTTTGTTTGAACTTTTCGTAGCAGTACTGTTACATGGACGCTGTTCGCATTTGTTGCAGTACCCTGGCAAATATGATGTTACTCCCTTTTTGCTGTTACATGGATGCTGTTCGCATTTGTTACAGTACCCTGGCAAATATGATGTTACACTCCCTCTTTGAGTAGTACTTTATTGAACTAAGTTACTTTATTGAACTAAGTGAGTTGTACGTTTAAGGTTTAGATGAGTAATTATTTTCTTTTACAAACTCTATCTTGACAAGGTTGTTCATTCTACTAACACATGACTATGTTCTTTTTAACACAGGATTACTTCATTAGGAGGCTACCAAAAGCATTACCATTGGATCTCATATACCAAAGCAAAGTAAACTACAGTGGGACTAAAGTTTATATTTCAGAAGTTGTCGTAGCTTTTTTCAAATAAATTGTCATGCTATGTTATGAGATTTCTGCCATTTCAAATATCTAGCTCTTCAGGTTGGCTGTCTGTATACTTTTTATCTCTGCTTGAAGGTTTCTGGAAGTTCTTAATCTGCTTGGTGGAACCTTGCTAAAGTTTTTCATTGTCCTGAAACTTCTGATTTTATGAGAAGGCCTGAATTATTACTTTGGACTCTAATTCCAGATTTGAACTGTTCATCAAGGCTTTGCATGACCCCCCCCCCCCCCCCCCCCCCAAAAAAAAAAAACACACAGAGTTTTCTATCGTCTATTGCACTACCCTCCACGGTGCATGTTACACTGTATAAAAATGACATGTATCATCCTACATTAGTTGTGTTTTGAATCTTATTTATACTTGATTTGCCTTTAATTCCAATTTAATTTGGAACAGAGATGGAGAGGAGAAACAAAGAACTCAGGTCCAATGTTTCAAGTCATTGAGGCACTATTGTAGAACAAGTGAAAATGGATGCTCCATTTGTCTTTAGTCTATCTAATCTTCCGTTGAAGTTGAGTTTTTATATAATTTATTATTCTCCAGTTCCCATGAGATACATTCAAACGATTCAGAACAGTAAGAGAGAGATGGCTTAGAAATTAATTATCTTTCAGATAGGAGTTTACTTGTCAATGAAAGTTTTGTTCGGTCCAAAGCTTGTAGAACACATAAATAACAAAATTCTATCCGATAAAGCAAAATAATGTCTTTGCTCTGCGCTGAGAATTCAGATTATTAGAATACTCATTGACCAACAAAATATACTTTAATAGTCAACAATACACTTGATAATCCATTCATTACTAGTACATCCTGACACTGAAGAAAACTGCAGCAAATTAAATAGAAACATTTCTTTCGTCAGTAAGCGCCCCCTCAAATAACAATACAAAAAAAGGTAGCTTACAGAAAAAATATGAGAACAAGCTCTACATCTTGTACAAAACAAAAATAGATGTTGGACAAAACAGCAATCTCAACAGCTAGCCGTCAATCGATTGATGGCATTTGAGATAACGAAATATAAACTAGAGTACTGCAGGGTCTTCAGTGGAACCAGTAGAACATTCTCTCAATGGGTAGAGCTGTTGGAGAATTCCCCATCCACCACATCCCATGGTAGCAAACCACCAGTACAAGGAGACAATCTACTATATAAATGCTGTACAAAGAAAAATAAAAACAGAAATAATAATCCTTAAAGCCTTCATTCAATCTCTTTGACCTGAAAAGAACTTTCCTGATTTGGAAGGGACTGCATTAGAGCTCGGTGCATTTATCAAACTTCCATTATGTGACATATAGAAATGGTTGTAATTGATTCTGGTAACTAGATCTTCCAAATGAGGAAACTGGCCCACATTGAGCTTGAAAGAGAGGATCTGAAATTTTGCAAAATGGTATAAGAATCAATCAAGTCCCTGCTATTGAAGTAATTATAACGTTAGCGTTAGTATCAAAATAAGGGAGAAATGAACTTACCCTCAGGAGGAAAGCTATGCAGTCATCAAACTGTTTCTCTATCCTATTGATTTCCATTTCACACCTTGCCTTGATAGCTGAAATTGCCCCTCCACTGCTAAGAGTCTGCTGTACTGAATAGAAATCCAGAGCTAATCCAAGAATACTGTTGATACGGCTAGCAATCAGTGCCCACTGGAAAAAGGAAATTGTTTCCAGTTAACCCCTCAAGGCTTGATTCTCCATTTCCATGAGTTGGGAAGGGAAAAAACAAATAAAGATTGCGTCCATGTAATACCAGTTTTTCTGGAACAGCGAAGCACTGCCTTTGAATAGCCAGCAAGTAAGCCTCGTGTATTTCTATGACTTCATCCAATGATCTCGCTGCAGCCATACCGTCACAGAGTTCACCCCATGCACTGTGATACACCTACATAGTCACATGGTGAGATACTCTTAACAGACATAAAATGCAGCAATAATTGTTTGCAAAGGCCGTCCTTTTACTGATGTTTGATGGCGTTACAGTCAAGTGCAGATAATGAACAGACTAATATTTTCTGTTTCTAAGAGTTTTGTTAATTCATGATTCTTCATTTTATCAAGTATGTTAGAAGCGGCATTTATCCCAACTAGTTTGAGATAGAGCCTTGATTGATGATAGAAATTGCATTTACCTTATAATAGGGGTCTAAGTTCCGGTAAAAAACACAAAGCAGAATGCAGTAACACTGTGATAGTAGTAATTGTTTATGAGAACATAGAAGCATATAAAGGCAAATTTTAAAATTTGTACTTTCCACGAAGAAATCACCATGCCCGTCAATCCACCTCATGTTGCAACAATTTTCCATCAGTATCAGTGCCCTATACTTATTCAATAGAAATGCAGACTGGCAAAAGCCACGACAACCAAAGTCAAGCAAATTTTTTCACAAATCAAGAGAGCAGGGAAGATACTGGCATACAAGAAGACAGTATTAAAAAGGCAAGATTGATTTAATATCGGAGAGAGAGAGAGAGAGAGAGAGAGAGAGAGAGAGAGAGAGAGAGAGAGAGAGAGAGAGAGAGAGAGAGAGAGAGAGAGAATACCCTGTCCATCACATATTGGTGGAAAGCATCCACAAAATGTAGCAGTTTTTGTTCCAGTAACCAATGATGCTTGCGGTTAATAGATGTGGAGCTTTTGTCCTGGAAGACGAAGTTGCTAGGTTAACATTTTAATAAGAGCAACTAAAGGAACCTGTTAGAAGACATAAAGTACACCATTGTTAAAGAAAATGGACCTTAGGCCTAACTCAACCCCAAAAGCTTATTTAATGAGATGAAGATTGTCCAAGACCATATAAGTAGACAAATAGCCCATCCCTAAATCAGTGTCGAACACTTAATACCCCCTCGCATGCCCAGACTGGATATCTGGAGCGTGGACAATATAACATGGGTCCCAACATCGGACAAATCAATAATGAGATGGGTCTGGGTCTGGTACCATACTAAAGAAAATGGATAGCAGTTGACTCCAAATGCTTAGTTTATGAGGTGATGATTCTCCAAGATCATATAAGGAGACAAATAGCCCATCCCTCAACCAATGTGGGACACTTAACATAAATGATATTGAATAGCTAGCAATTTCTATTTGGTTTGCAAAGTAACTATAGCAAAAGAAGATAACAGAGAACAGACCTTCCACATCCACCTCCGAGCTTTATCAAGAACAAATTTTGCACGTCTGACCTTCAGTAAGAACCTCATAACCTGAAAAAGATGATAAACTACTGAGCAGAACATTTTGATCGATTGCATCATGAGGGGAACTACAGCAGTCCATTAGCTACCTGATTATACTTCTTTATTGCTTCTGTATTTGCAATTAGTTCAAGGGGCCAAGGAACCTGTTACGTTTCAACATTAACACAACATGTCAAGGTTGTAAGACACCACAGATCAGACAGCCCAAAGCACCACAAAACAAGTAGCATACCTTGTATGTAAACATGAGTGTATCCAGGCCATCAATGCCAAAGTTCTGCCCTCGACTCTTTCGAGGTGTCGAAGTTGGAACAGGCATACCATGCTGGTCATCATCACTAGTGGCATTATTTCTTGTTACAGACACGATTAATGAATCGGGCGAGCTTAATAGCGTGGCATCAGCAGAGTATCGGATTGATTCCTGAATTAAAATAAAGGTTAAGTGCATACAAAAGGGCTTCCTCACTTGCAGACTCAAGGGACTGTAATTAGAGAAGTCAGACGTCAGTAGCAGAAAACAATTTAAAAGTCCAGACAATAGGACAAATAGGAGCGGGAAACACCAATTATTGGCTTCTGCAGACGCCAAAGGCTGCAGTAGTTTTAGTTCAACCCCTTTTCAACCATTAAAGATGAAGGCAAACGGTCTATCTGATCTTTTATTTTCCTTTTCTGATATTACAGAGAGGTCATTGACCCTACTTTCACACAGTTCTTTTTCTTCCTTTTTTTTGGGGGGGATATAGATGGTGTCGAGGCCAGCTCGCGCGTACATAGTTCTTTTTTCCAGTTTGATATCTCAGCACTGTGTAAGATTATCTGCAATACATATTCAGAGTTCAAACTACAGCTGGAACCTAGTAGAAAACGAGAAGCTGTTTTCCTTTCTTTGGATGCATATTTTAAAGTTGCCAGTAAGTTTGTTCAAAATTTAATATCATTAACAAGAAAGTCACCAGTCTTCCTCTTTTAGAATATGAATCCTTATCAAGTGCTATCTATAGATAAGAAAATCAAGTTGTTAAAAGGCAAGGAAAGAATTGGAAAATCTTTTCCCAGCTGCACGAATGGCGCTTTTCCTTTTGGGGGGTTACAACTAACTAATAGAGAAGCCACTTTGACAACATCAGAGAAGAATCTTTCATAGAAAAATTCTGCCGACAGATAGATGGGAACTAATCAATCAAGCAAAAGGATTGAGTTGACCAACTGGACCTGCAGTGTTGTGTTTAATTCAAAATCATCATCCAAGCTCTCTCCTTTGTCTAATTTATTGAAGACCACTGTCAACAAGTGCTGCAGCAAATCACCTGGAGAGAGCAATATAATAATCATGTAAAGAATGCAAATGACGATTGACTACTAAAAAGCTAGCTCGTCAAAAACCAATGCAGACCTGAGCCTAACAAGTATATAGCACGCAAAACTTCCAGCTCTTCTAGCAGTCTCCACTCACATAGTAATTTTGACAGAATATTCCTGCCAATACAATCAGCCTGCAGTGCATAACAAGAGGCAGTTGGACATATACCTTCTCAAAAAAGAGAGGCGGTTGGACATATTAAATCTCAACCATGTAACTATAAAAAGGTATTTTTAGATGACTATGTGCTACTACCTGTTTTTTAATGAAGAAAATAAGGCATTCTTGAAGAATAACCGTAGGCAACGGAGTATTCCTTGGTTCAACCCTTCCAATCCAGTTTAAGGTCCTTGAAGGGAGTGTACTATTTTCCTGGAAAGGAAACACCTCCGATACGTGATGATCCTCCTGTTCCAAAAATAATGTTAAGTTTAAACTTCAAAAGATGGAATAAAATCTAGACTAAGACAACTACTAGCCATAACCCCAGATGACTTGACACGAACTACTTAAACTAAGTTCACTTAAGAAACAAACTATGTAGAGCCTAATCTTGATACAGGTGCATTTCCAACTGAAGGTCCAAAACAATTTAGCCAATCTGTTAAATTTCAAACTCAAAACCCAATCTAGCCAGTCAATAACAGAAACGTCTGTTATAATCCATGCTTAGCTCATGGTTTGATATCCCAAATGGGATTGTCAGATTCCCAAGGGAAGAAACAAGAGGAGGATGGTGACAGATTGAGAGTTATGCAAACTGGGTTCTGAAAATGCTGCAAGTTGAATTCTTGCATGACAAGGATGGTGCTGGAAATACAAGAAAAGCAGTAAATTTAAAGGTCCTGGTGAATTTGATGGCATGCTAAACACAAACTCCAACCTCGACAATTAAATAATAAGCAGTAGCAACCTGTCAGAATTGACTTTCTTACTGGAAGAAAACTATATTCAGTTAACTAGGCAGTTGGTCACAGTATAAGTTATCCACCCATTGTGGAATACCATAATGAAACAAGACCGAGACAAAACCAAAACAACTTTGGCTGAACTAGAACATTTTCGGATGGTTCTACGGTTTAGACCACATTATCACACCCCTTGTTTTGAAAGTTGTTTTTACTGGTGTAAAGTACTATATATTTATGTGATATGACCTGGTATAAGAAGAAAATATTAGGCTAAAAGAAAATCAGAGATAAATGACCTCCTACCCAGCCTTAGGAAGTGAGGGTGAGGAATACTGAGCATGTCAAAAACAAGTTAAATTATTTTTCTTTTATGACTACTGAGGTTACAAGATACCAGTACCTGAAAAGGAGGAAGAAGAGTTGGAAATGGGAGCAGCTCCTCCAGAAAATTGACATCTTCCTCTAATCGATCACGTACAGATTCACCAAACTGAAAACCAAAGGTATAGTTTGTATTTTTGGTTGCCACGCATGATCCACCACTTCCAATGAATATTGCCTGCCTTAATCCCTCATCATTAAGAGGGGGGAGGTAAAACTCTCTAGATAAATTCAATGCACCCCAAGCATCCCTATTTGCATGAAGAAAATTTTGGCTAGTAGTTATAGCTGGATTTTCAGGACGGAATCCTAAAGATAGACTATCATTTCCATCTAAAGGTAGCTTATCTCCTTTCACAACAAAGCTATCCACTTCCTCTACAAGAGCATGACATGAATGGAGATCAGCTCTTCCTTTCTGAGCCACTGTATCAACCAAGAACTTACACCATTCTTTATCTGAGCATGCCATCTCTTGGAAGCTCTCATTACTTCTTTCTACTTTTTGCCTTCCAATAATTGATTTAACTAATGATACAATTTTCTTCTCCTGGAAAAAGTAATCAGATATGTGATCCCCATAGCTAATAAGAGCCGATAAAGTGACACAAAAGATCTCTGACAAGCTTAACCCAGCAATACGCCCGCCAGTTTGAATAGAACTGGCAGATACTGAGGATCTCATCGTAGTATGTTGAACAAGCTGCAATGACTTTCCAGCAGAGATAATATCCCTGGCTATCTCTTTGATAAACAGCGGACATACATCCAAACCTCTCTCTTTTGCCTCTTTCTCATTGGCCAAACCAGGCACATCATTAGGTTCTCTTCTACCCATATCGTTTGTCCGCTTTATTGAAAGCAAAGAATCAGCTTGACAACCAGTATCCAGTTTTGCAGATCTCAGCAGATAGCTCTTCTCCCAAAACTCAGACTCATCAACTGCAATTCCTTTGTTAGCACAAAAGAACATCTGCATAATAGGCATACAGACATAAGATTGTCTTAGAGAACTTCAATGTCTAAACATAGGTGTTGCTGAACTGTCTGCCATAAGCCATAACTATGAAAATCAAAAATGAAAAAGAAAACATACTAAAATTACCTAACTCATACTCCAAATTTGCTGAGGAAAATTCACCAGTTAACTAATTTCAACAATTTGTACAAATGCCACAACTTATAGTAATTACACATCATACTTTTTAGACTGTATCATGTTAGATGTTAAGAGCACAAATAAACTTTTTGCAAGAGCATTAATTGCTTACACAATAGCATGAGTAATGGATGTCTTGGAATCATAATACAATTTTGGCTCCATATTAAATAATCCGTGAAAACGCTTTATCAAAACAAGCACTATGGATCACTGTTGCATAGATTCTTCATTCTATTATATGATATCAGATTAGATACTTCATATGGTACAAGATATATCAAAAATATATTAAAGTACCCTTTATCCATAACAGTATGCCATAGTCGAGTCAGTTTAACATATCTAGCGACATACACTATTCGACTAGCTTAATTATTCATGAAATTGAAGTTATGTACCGAAGTTAAAAAGGTATACTATTGAATAGCCCTTCTTCCTTTGCCACATTGCACTTAGGCATACTTCTTTTTCCAATAAAAGAAAAAAAGCGTTAAGGTCCAGATAAAACTCTGAACTAATATAGCGAACATTTGCCCTCCACTACACTTTTGACTTCAAAATGCACTTGTATAAAAATATGCTAGGATGTTGAAACATGCAGATATAAGCATGATCCAGGAAGCTATTATTCTGATCTATGTTAAAAGCTATATGAAATCATTCGCTATTCCATTAACACGACAATCAATAGAAACTTACCTCCTCAAAGGGGTCGTCAAGAATTCCTTCATAAAGCCATGAATCAAGGCCCTCAATGTATGGCAAAAGACTGCTAACAAATGCATGTAATATCATCCTGTAAGCATCCTCCTGAAAATATTTACTCCAGATGATGAGTTATAAGATGAAAGACTCAGCAAATATGTCCAGTAAAGGAAAGCAGTGACACACCTCGCCTCCTTGCACAAGACAAACTTCAGTCAGCTTCTTAAATAAATAATTAAGAATATGCACAGCAATAGCTGTGGCAGAGATAGAAGAATTAGTTTCATCATAAGCTTGTGGAATGGCTCCTTGCACTAGTTGAAACAAAAACTCAGCTCCTGCACACAAACTAATATAGCATTGATAAATCCTGTTAGGAACTTTAATTAATAACCCCTAAAAGTACAGGGAAAAGATCTGTCAGCAAGACCAGTCAAACAAGTGAGCTGTTAATAGTCTTTTGGGTAAGGCATGCAAAAGGGGAGCATCAGTGGACTCCCCCTTGGCATTTCAAAAGGAAAGGGTGGGGGGGTCCTGAAAATATGTACACACATAATCAGGATAGCAGAAGAAAGGCAGCAAAAGAAAGTCTTGCAGAGAAAGGACAATGAGGACGGATAACAGGTCCACCAAAGATGGAAATAAGAATCAAACGCATGTTTATTGCATAAAAAACAGCTATATATATAAACATATTTCATCAAGCAACATTTTAAAATGCTGCAAGATCGGATATATATATATATATATATATATATATATATATATATATATATATATATATATATATATA